ATGGACTATTGATTTTGTCAGAAATCAGTGAAGAAGAGTCAAGTTTTTTTCAGTCAAATATTTTCTCTTCTCAATGAAGAAAAGGCTAGGACAATGATATTTTGAAGCGTACCTTTGATACTCCCTGTGGTCCTTACTATAGTTTGTGATGGTAGTAGGTAAAGAAGCTAAACCCTTGATTCAAAGAGAGGAAAACATGTGGAAAGAAACGGAATGATTTCCAAGTTCACATGGCAAGTTAGTAGCAGAACCATTATTGCAATCCAGGACTGAAGACATCTTGTCCTGGTATTTCTCCCCTGCATCACGTTGCACTGCTCTGAGCCTTGCTTATATTTTTAACACCTGGATTTCCAGGGTGGTGACTTGGGGGAGGGAAGCATTCAATTCAGAACCACCTTGAACCAGATCTCTAGAAACAAATTCTGTACTATTTCTCCTTCATCCTGTTTTCATAACTAGTGCCAAGCTCAGGACTAATTGCATAGACTCCCTTTCAAAAGACCAATAGATATTCTCAGTGACAGTTGAACACATTAGTTAACAGTTCCACAGAATTTGAACAGAACTTAAAGTGGACAGTTAATGCTGATCTATGATTAACAAAAACATCAACTTGCGGATATGCTGATTTTATCCAGTTTTCAAAATATGATTCCTACAGTTCAGGATATCACTTACTTGTTAGATTGTAGACAAGGAAAGTGGCCATTGAGACATTATGTACTTAAGAGTTTTTCCTTGTTTAAGTTTTGCAGAGGTAGTGGTTGAAAGTTGAGCTGACACTAGATTTTGAGGTTATTAATGAATTCCAGTTGTCAAGTCTCCCCCACTTCAATTACCAGGTAACTATAAGGCAAAAATATCCCAATGCTGCGAACTTAAGGCAATATTCATTTCCTTTCTACACTGCTACTTGGTATGGTAACCGTGACAAACTTTTATTTTCCCTTTCTGATTTCCTAATGAAATATCATTATTTGCACAGTTTTAAAGTGACTAAATGAAGGAAAAACATTGTTATGACCCATAACCCTTGGATGGAGCCCAAATAGCATCATGAAGAGCATCATTAAAACTAAGAGAAAGTGGCTATCAGAAAACGAAACAGCTTTAAAGGGGTTCCTTTTAAGTCTTGTTTTCTATTCAGAATGTCCTATGTTTTTTCTCAAGTGTGGGAATGACATTTATCTTAGCAGGTTACTCAACTACACTGGATGATGTCACTCTAACCAGTGTAGGGCACTGACCCAAGTTCTGGGGGGCTCCTTGGACCAATGGACTATTTTACAAACCTGGGAGGTGGGAGGGATGGTATATTTTTGATAATCAGACATTCCAATGTAATGTTTTCCTTAGAGGTCACACCCTCCCCCCATTAATGTCATCGTGAGACACATCAAGTGTGTTCTTTTCTATTTTCGTATAATAAATGGGCTTTGCTTATTAACATCACAATGGCAAAGAAGAAATATACTGTACAAAACTGCAGGAAGATAAAACATGAAAACTTTCTATGAAAAAAAAATTCTTGAGTTTCCTGTTGTCTTCTTTTGAAACTGTAGTGCATATGTTAAAACGTGTATATCATTTACAGTATTGAGTCAGTACTGCTGTACCTGATGTATCCAATCTGGATTAAACAAACTATGTGCCACAAACCCTAAAATGACTGTTTCTTTGAATACTGAATCTCCTTTCCTCCAAAGGTGCTGGTATATCCTAGAGAATAAGAATAATTTGAACAAAGATCGGCTTTCTACCTTGCTAAAGAAAATTCAGACTCTTAGAAGGGTTATTAAAGGCCTAGTGCAAGCTTCCCATCCCATCCCTCAATGTAAACATAAACAATTCCTCTGTGATATCCCTGAGGGTTCTTGCCTGCTTGTATGCTGTTTACCGATGTCCACTGTCTAACAGGTAAAGCATTTGGTTTTATTTATCAACTGCCCTCTTTTGAAGACTGACCCCATATTACTGAAAGAAAATCTGACTGTATCAGTCCTGGTTCTGCTGAGTACCAAGTTCTCAAACTAAAAAGAAAACTCAAAATTAAATGCTATATGGGGTATTATAGAAAGCCTGGCAATCAGATGGCAGAATTCAAGTTTAGATTTTGGCACTTAATTGTGACTTCATATCAGTAACTCCCTCTTGGCTTCCATTAGTTTCCTCTTTTTAAAAATGGAGAATTGTAATGGCATGTGCTTGTAGTTCCAGTTACTTGGCAGGCTAACGCAGGAGGATCCCTTGAGCCCAGGAGTTCAAGTCCAGCCTGGAGAACACAGTAAGACCCTCATCTCCAAAAAAACAAAAAACAAAAAATGGGGATTGGATTAGTTATCTTGAAAATCTGTTCCAACCTTAACAATTGACTTAGGTGATGAGACGGACCGGTAGTCTGTTTCACCATGTGGCAACGAGGAGAATCCTTTTAATTTCCCCACAACAACCAGATCCTGATGAAAACAGTAATAGAAATGGAACATTAAAACAAATACATGATGCCCAAAGGCCCTAGAAGTTAGCTGTGAAATTCATTTTAATTGATGCTCACATCCTTATCACCCACTAGGTGTCGCTGCAGACCCACAGCCCAAATAATTGTTGGGTAGAAAATAACCGGAAACCAGATGTGCATTGAGCAGTTCGTGTTTTTTCATTAACATGCACTAAATGTCAAGTGAATGTGCTTGTGCATAGAGGTACAAAAAAATAAACACATTCTGCCAAAACAAGTCAATAACCTTGTGATGGAGTTCTACTGTCAGCTATGGTTATCAAAAATACATACTTTTAAAAGACTAACGTAGATTTAAAAACCCTAAAACTTCAAAGTACTCCCTTGTCTCAGAGTGATCCACAAGTACTATAATTTATGTTCAATTATTTTTAGTATCTGGGGCTGAAGTTTGCCTTTAAACCACATTTTTAAAAGGTTAATAAATATTACTGTAATATCTAAGCTACTTGAGAAAATATTACTTTTAATCACCCAAAATAATTGATATTCTAAGTCAGAATTATTCAAAGTAGCAGGTTTCTCAAAGACCTCTCTACATGTTAATATTACCAGCTGTAATTCAAGTTACAGCTTATTGCTTAACATGAATAGTTGCAATAAATGTATTGATGTAAAAGTATTCACAAATTCAGACATTTAACCAATTCACAGTAGCCTTCATCCACATTACTTGAATTTATAAAGGCTTTCTGTATTTATAAATTTGATTATCCTTTTCCTTAACTAGAAACTATCTTTTCTTCAGCCTGTCATATGATTAAATCTTAGAACTAGAAGGGATCCTAAAAATCTCCTAGTCCAACTTTCATTTTATTGATAAGAAAACGACCATGAAAGGTTAAATGACTGGTACAAAGTTAAAAAGTAGGTAGCAGCAGTCTGAACCAGGACAAGTACCCTTTTCAATGGTTCCTGACAGATTATGGAAACATGCACCTAGACTGATAATTAAAAAAAAAAAAAAAAATCTTTCCCACACTAAGATAAGTCACAAACAAATAGTAGCCTGGGGAAGATTCTTTCCACATCCACCACTATAGCTACCTCTGTTATTTAAGAATTTGGTAGCTGCCATATTCCTGGTAAATGCTTGTAGAAATTGAAGCAATTAGTATTTTTGTATGTTATACATATGCTCACCTCTAGCTTATTTTTCAGTGTGGGGGAAAAAACACAAACACAAAATAGAGAATCCAATTAATTTGAAGACTAGTGGGTAGGTAACCTAATCTCTAATTAAGATGCAGTAGTACCCTAATTAAAATCCCCTAGCAATGACAAACTGAAATTGGCTATATTGTAGGGGAAAGGATAGAAAAAGTAAATTCAATTATGTATCAATGAAAGGGTCTTATTTAAATGTGTAATAAAAATCTCTACTTAATGACATACTGGACCTAATTATGGATTTGCTATCTACATTATTAATTAATGTAAAATACTGACACATGTAAGAAAAGCCTAACATTGCCCAATCCAAATGACAGGAATCCAAGTTAAATAGGAGTTTAGAACTGTGTTATCTAAGTGTTGGACAATAAATGAAAATGGCTGTGGGTGTTTGCCGACAGCTCTGGGGAAAGTGTTTTATACTACTTAGACAAGTATGTACACAAGAAAGAGCTTTCCTTTTAAAAAGTGAATACACATCTCTATACACAAGTGGTTCTCTCACCAAAAATCCAGTTCACAGAAAGGTTTGGGAACCAAAAGCTTAATCATGAAAGGACTTCCAAAGGAAAAAAAGGAAAGAATATGTAATTTTTAATTATATTTTTCTAAATCATAATTTACAGATGCATCAGCTGAAAAAAACAATAGCTCCTCTTGGATTCTAGCGGTAAAAACTGGGAAGAATTTTCTAGAAGACACAAGATTAGGATGCACTGAGAACTGTCTAAAGAGAATCAATTCCAGCTTCCAATAAATACTTAAAACTCAGAGCATACCATCAGAGCAGGTCACTTGTTAACCTGGACTATATAGATGAACTTCAGAGGGTCTAGGAACCCCTTGAAATGACATTCACAATTCTGTGTTTATGGAATGAGAAATTTCCTGGGTTCAATCTATAGCTTTCAGCTAATTCATAAAAGGATCTAAGAACCAAAAAAGATTGAGCTGCTCCTCCATCTGAGCAACATAAATAAGACAGCCACTGATGACCCTCAGCTATTTAAATTCACAGTAAAAATGTGGACAGCTTTCACAACCTCAAGACATTCAAAAGATAAACAATAAACATGTAAATGTTTAACTAAATTTGTTTTTAATAAAAACAATTATTTTTACTGGAAGCAAATAGATCAAATCAAATACCTTTAGGAAAATCTAAAGCAATGTTTATTCCCTCCTGCCTAAACCTAAAACAAGAGGATTTTCTGATCTACCATGCTACAAATTTCTACAAGAATGCACCTCTAAAGAAGGAAATGCAGCCCAAGCCATTTGTAAAGAACTCCACAGCGAACTAACATTACTTCTCAAATCTATTGTTTTTATTGTTTTTAAGTAAGCAGTGGTATATATGTTTTTAAATGTTTCTTTTGGGAAGATCTTATAGAAAATGGCACCCTGAAACTTTCAGCTCTATGTCCCCAAATTTAACTTTCAAGAATCTGTAGTTTAAAAAAAAAAACTCTTAAATTAAAATGAAGATAATATACCTGTCCTAAATCAAAACAATCTGAAAAATAGATGTGTCCCAGTAGAAAGCCTCAAGTCCTTTCAAGTTTATCAGAAATGCCACTATCTACCACTGTACTAGAGGTCGAGGAAGATGGATATCCGAAGGTATCACTTGTTGACAGCTCCTGATGGTCTCAGGTATATCCTATAATCACTGGTTATTATGCATCATTTCTTGTAGATAAATGTTATTCATATGATAGGCTGCTATCCAACTTGGATGTCTCTGAGCATTCCAATAATATGACTGAGAAGCGGCAGCATAATATTCTTGCCATGCCCTGTAGTAAGCTTTCCAGTAATCCTCATAATCCTGATAGTTATCAGAAGAACTCAGATGTGCTTCCCTGTGACAGTCATACCAACTATCTTCCTTGGCTTCAGTCTGCAATCTATAAGACCGCCTGGGTAGGTTTCTCCGGCTCTGCTTAGCTCTCCGGCTAGCCCCCTCTTTCTGTCTTGATTTGATCTGGATTTCAGGTGATTCTTGATATTCCTCTGGACCGGGAGTGTCACTTCCATTTGAAGGTTGGTCCAAAGAAATATGATCATCTACAGGAGTAGATTCAGAGTCTTTCAACTGATTATCAGAAGAGCCCTCCAAGTATGTCTTATTTCCTTTGCTCTGAGAAGAAGTTCTTGAACTGTAAGAATCAGTGTCACTCGCAGAGTCTCCAGATTGGCTACTACTTGCCAATACAGGGACTCTCTGTTCAGTAACTTTATTTCTCACAAAACCATTTTGAGGATTCACAGTCTGATCCCCAGGACCTGTGTAATGCCTAATGATTTCCACAGGTTTCTCTAATCCCTCTTTAATGTAGTGTTCATAATCCTCTACCAATTCAGCAAAAGTCAAAGTGTATGGCTGATGGATTTTAAAGGAAGACAGACAAGGAATTTGGGGGAGTGACACAGGTAAAGCTTCTTTGACCTGGTGCTGACTGTTGGTGGAGCTTTCAATGGGGGTCTGAACAGAATTCTTCATTTGCTCTTCAGATTGTATGGCACAGCCCAGTTCTTTTGTTAACACTGCTTTTTCTATGATTCCACACTCTGAGTGGCTTTTCACAGGAAGCTTTTGTTTGGTATTATTTTTTGATTTGACTGATAGTGCAGACACAGAAGTATTTCTAGAGGAAGCTATGTGGTTACCATGAGCTTTCTGAGTTTGAAGGGGTCTCTCTGTTTTTTGAATCTGTGCTTTTAGAGGTTGGTTAGGTACACTTGCTATGCCATATGTATGCACAGCAGCTTTCACCTCCACATCCCAATCCAAACATTCTTCCATCAGACCAGAAGGAATGGGATCTACACAAAAAGGAAGAAAAATGTATTAAAATTCTTAAGCTACTCTAGAACATTGTTTTTCACATGATTTCATAAAGTTTTCAATGGTCAAATATATTTAACAAAATATGCAAATATACGAAGATGTTTAATAAATATATTAATATTTTTAAAGACTGAAGCAATCTTGTAATAGAGAAATCTGCCTAAGAAATATATAAGACCCATCCCATACTCACAAGTACTGTCTCCCCTCACCCTCACTAGAAAAAGAGCTTACTCTAGGAGTAATGTACAAGAGTCTGCAGCAATTCTCCCATCTTTTCTCTCCTCCCCCTCCACAGCCCCTCCCCTTATCTCAATACTCTGACAACAAAACAAGATACTAGAAAATGGATTGTGCTCCCCAAAGCTTGTCTATGAAATATTACAACTGCAACTCTTTACACCCAACTAAATCTTTCACCCAATACTCCAACAGAGAAAAATCACTGCCCTTAACATTAGAAAGAAAACCTCTATAGGGGGAAAAAAAATACATGACTTTAAAAAGATCTGTGGCACCAATGACATTTCTAATTTTTAAAAAAATTTCTGGCTTCAATCCTCTAAATTTCCTATTCCATCCAGGTGTGACAATTTGCTTCCAGCCATCAGACCTTTCAGTGTAATCTATTTTTGTCTTACACAGACAAGATATATCAAGCCCCTGCTTTACAAAGATCTTGCTTGTTGTTGCTATTTATGCTCCTTGTTACCTATAAATCCCACGGGTCTAGATACTACAGTGAAGTCTCTTGATCCTTTGCTGAAGAGATTCTATGATTAAAGAATAGAGAAAAAAGAATAAAAAGGAATGAGCAAAGTCTCCAAGAAATATGGGACTATGTGAAAAGACCTTTACATTTGATAGGTGTACCTGAATGCGATGAAGAGAATGAATCCAAGTTGGAAAATACTCTTCAGGATATTATTCAGGAAAACTTTCCCAACCTAGCAAAGCAGGACAATATTCAACCCCAGGTAATACAGAGAACACCACAAAGATATTCCTCAAGAAGAGCAACCCCAAGGCACATAATCGTTAGATTCACCAGGGTTGAAACAAAGGAGAAAATACTAAGAGCAGCCAGAGAGAAAGGTCAGGTTACCCACAAAGGGAAGCCTATTAGACTTACAGCAGATCTCTCAGCAGAAACCCTGCAAGCCAGAAGAGAGTGGGGGCCGATATTCAACATCCTTAAAGAACAGAACTTTCAGCCCAGAATTTCATATCCTGCCAAACTAAGCTTCACAATTGAAGGAAAAATAAAATCTTTTATGAACAAGCAAGTACTCAGAGATTTTATTACCACCAGGCCTGCTTTACAAGAGCTTCTGAAAGAAGCATTATACATAGAAAGGAACAACCAGTATTAGCCTTTCTAAAAATATACTAAAAAGTAAAGAGCATCAACATAAAGAAGAATTTACATCAACAAATGGATAAAATAGCCAGTTAACATCAAATGGCAGTAACCCTAAATTTAAGTCAACTAAATCTCCCAATCAAAAGATACAGCCAAAACCTAATGGTATGCTATATCCAGACCCATTTCACATCCAAAGATACACAAAGACTCAAAACAAAGGGATGGAGAAAGATTTACCAACCAAACGGAGAGCAAAAATAAATAAATAAATAAAAAAGCAGGAGTTGCAATTCTTGCATCTGATAAAATAGATTTCAAAGCAACAAAGATATAGTAGTAAAAGGATCAATGCAACAATAAGAGCTAACAATCCTAACACCCAGATACATAAGACCCATAAAGAGATTTAGACTCAATGAGACAGAAAATAAGGATATCCAGGACTTGAACTCAGATTTGGAACAAGTAAACTCAGTAAATATTTATAGAGCTCTCCATTTTAAATACACAAAATATACATTCTCCACCTTAAATATACAAAATATTGATTGGCCATTATTAATAATACCCATTTTTAGAATAAAGCTACATTCCCGTTCTCTCTCCCTCTTTTTCTTCCTCTTTCTTTCTCTCCTTCACTCCTTTTCTTTCTTGCTTTCCAAAAAAATAAATAAATAAATAAATAAATAAATAAATCCTACCTCCGTTTAAAAAAAAAAAAAAACACCTCTCATTCCTACTCAGGTGATATCCCTTCCTCACCTAGTCCTATAATACAGGCCAATTTCCCTCCTAGCTCTGCCCCAGGAAACTCATCTGAACATATCCTAGTCCATTATAGACCTAACAGCATGAGTATTATTCTCATGATTTCAGGCCTCTGTTAACATTACATAAAAATCCAAATATATCATTTTCCAGTATACAAAGGCAATTTTTATTTTTATCATTAGATGCTATGATACTGAATCCTACAAGAAGCCTTAACTGCCTTCTAACAATTTTCTATTTTTTCCCCACATCAGACTACCAATAAACTTCACAAAAAGAATTGACAGTTTTAGAACTGATATAGAGCCTAAAGACCATCTACTCTATGATATTTTGCAAATCAGGACGCTAAGCTTAGAGCAATTACAGAGATTTGTAAAAGAACATAAAAGTTATTACTAACCCAGATCTACTAGAATACATATGACTTCCAGATCTATACTTAATCTGGCTTCATGAAATAAATTAAATATAAAATCAGTAAAATACTCAATTATATTTATTCAATAACTATATATCCCATATTCTACAAGGTCATGTATATGCTATATGTGTATATATCTATATATACATACATCTATATATAAATATACACTATTTATAGTGCACATTTTCTGTATAACATGCACATCAAACATGCCATATTTCCACTCAAGTTTTTTAGAATTTTTTGTTTTTAAGAGATCGTTAATAGTTTTAAACATGCACTGTTTCCAAGATGGCACTTAAGCAGGACAAGTGACTGAACTGAAAAAAAAAAAAAAAATTTCACTCAAAGTTTTCAAAATGGTATTCAAATTAAAGACGCTGTTCCTTCCGCATGGTAACGAAGGAGAATATGGCAAGAATTAACCTCACAGCAACTTAAAAGAGGTAAAATACCCTCCTCATATCAAAGAATAAAATCATATTGCAAAGCCACTAACAAATAAAATAGAGCTAATATAGCTCTCATTTTTTTTCCCCCACTCTGCCTTTTTTTTTTTTGAGACAAAGTTTCACTCTTGTTGCCCAGGCTGGAGCGCAATAGCTCAATCTCGGCTCACTGCAACCTCCACCTTCTGGGTTCAAACAGTTCTCCTGCCTCAGCCTACCGAGCAGCTGGGATTACAGGCACCCGCCACCACATCTGGCTAATTTTATTTTTTAGTAGAGACGGGGTTTCACCATGTTGACCAGGCTGGTCTTGAACTCAGGTGATCCACTCGTCTCAGACTCCCAAAGTGCAGGGGTTATAAGCGTGAGCCACTGTGCCCAGCCAGCTCTAATTTTTCATGTGCCAGTGGTTAGCTTGCACTCTTCTCCCTGCCACTTGCTAGCTCTAACACCTTTACTTACCCTCTCTATGCCTAAATATCCTCATCTACAAGAGAATCACACACACTTCACAAGAGTGTGGTGAGAAATGAGTTAATGTACATACAGTACTGGGAACAGTATCCAGCACATCATAAGCACTCTGTGTTTGCTATTATTAATATTTTTATTATGCTTATCATCACTATAATTATTTTGACAGCAAAATGAAACAGATTAAATGTACCTGGTAAAGGTAGAAGGTTGATATTACATTTCTGGGCAATTCTCATCATCATATTTTCTTCCTCTCCCCGGCAACAGTAGGTCACTGTCAGTCCCAATGTACCTAAAGCAGAGAGAATGTTAGGTAGTAAATCATTTTCATAAAAATAACATTCAAAGCCCACCTGTCACATTATAGAGTCCTCCCCTTAAAGAAAGCACTGAAACTTTATTTACCAAAACGGCCAGCTCTGCCAATCCGATGCATATATGTCTCCCAATCCAACGGTACATCCAGATTTACAACCAGATTCACCTTCTCAGCATCAATCCCACGGGAAGTCTTGAATTGAAGAAGACAGTAATTATCTGTTTACACTAACTGTACAGCATGGCTACCAATGCATATTATATTCTTCCAGTATAGCCAAGAGCCAAATTAAACACAGAATATTGAGGAGCAGAGGAAAAGAAAATTCATTTCTGATGTCTAATTTCAAGGACAAAGATCAACCTATTAAAGACATTTTTAAGAAAGCATTTCCCTCAGCACTGGAAAGATAATTATCTTCTGGTATTCTTGTAGATACACTTACATAAAATAACAGATGAAAGCTGTACATCTGATAAAAGAACATATGTCAAGACAGATTAGTCACACAAACTAAACAGGAAATTTACCAAATCTGTGGAAATGAGGACTCTGCAATGAAACTGCTTCAGTTTAGCCATAGCATCAAGACGCTGATTCTGATTCATATTGCCTAAAAGGACCCCAAAAGAAAGTCATATAAAAACAACTAAGCTAATACATATTTATCAAATCCACAAAAAGTAAAAATCATAACGCCCAGTCTTAACACTTTTAACACACCAACCACAGTTAATTCTGTCCTTCTGTGCAAATCTAGGTTACGATCCAAAGTCAGAATCTTTTAAAAGATGGTTTAGGCAATCAACTTGAAATTCAAAATCAATTTTAAATAGTAATCAGGCCATGCATATAAATTCTATTTGCAGTTACATAAGAAGTATAACTAGCAATTCTTAGGAAAATAAAAATGCTTTATATCAGCTGTTTATAATTTGGTGTTAAAGTGTGATCTATAGTTAAAATATTGGTTCATTAGAAAATAGTCTCCCCAGTATCTCATGATAACTAAACAAGCTCAAGCCAACACGTTAAAAACTAAACTAACACAGGCGGGGCACAGTGGCTCACCCCTATAATTCCAGTACTTTGGGAGGATGAGGAGGGTGGATCACAAGGTCAGGAGTTCAAGACCAGCCTGGCCAATATGGTGAAACCCTGTCTCTACTTAAAAAAAAAAAAAAAAAATTAAAAAAAATAAAAAGTCAAAAACTAAGCTAACACGAAACAAAACTCTAAAAATGATCTCGCTGATCCAAAAATCCTTTGACTCTTTCATTATGCCAGCAGTAATCATGTAACTCTGTGGCAAGAAGTCAATCACTCTGCCTTCCACAAAACCATAAAACAGTCAATTCAGTTAACAATCTCCAGCATCTTAACAGTGATTATTTAAAAAAAATTTTTTTTTCTAAAGAAAAATATTTTTATCTTAACACAGACATACTTGGTTTTATAGAATTAAGTTCTTTGTGGTTATACTCAGAGATATAAAATCACATCTCTCTGAACACTAGTTTTCTAACTTTTTACCATACACCAAATTACTCCTTAAAAATAGAAGGATATTGACATTTCAAATTCCAAAGAAAAATAAGCCTGAAAATTCCTTTACTCTAAAAAATACATGATAATTTTATATTCAGAAGACAACTCATAAAGTGGTATTTCTTCCTTCTGACTTTGGAGGCTTCAAGTCAGTATACTAAATAAAGATTAAAGTAAGAAATGAACTGACCTGAAATGCACTCAGCAGGGAAGCCTTTAGAAGAAAGGATATCAGCCAAATGTTGTGCTCTATGAAATAGAACATAAATAGTTACAAATTTACAAATATTGCCCCATGCCTATCCTTTTATTTCACAAGTTCCCCAGATGGCCTTTTAAGTTACATTACCTGCTATGCAAATTAGAGAAGACTAAAGCTTGATTAAATGGAATTCTGCTGAATAGTTCCTGTAAATACTGAATCTTTTCCTCAAAAACCTTATGTGCCAAAGGGTACGAATTGACAACTTTGTAATACTGCTTCAAACCTACAAAGAAGAGTTGTCAGTTAAAACAAACATACATGCTATAACCTAATAGATATCACGAAACAACAACAGACAACCAGGCAAGGAAAAGCTCCAGAATATCACAAACAAATCATGTAAGTAGCTAAAAGCTGCACATACCTATGAGACTTGGATCACTGGCATTCAGTCTTACAAAAGTGGGATCTCTCATGTACTTTGTCAAAGCATTAGCCAAAAATTCAGGGTAAGTAGCTGATACTGCTAGCATCTGTTTACTGGCAGGCAAGGAAGAATAAATCCAACTGCAAAATAAAAACATGTATCATGTAAATTATTCAGACAATAATCACCGCTCAGGAAAGCTAGATACTTTGGGACGCTGTTTTAATAGTCAAGTTAGCTATTTTTCTTACTTTATTTGCTCCTGGAAGCTTCCTTCTTCTAAAAGCTTATCTGCTTCATCAAGAATAAAGAGGCGTATACTGCCTGGGTTCAAGTAGTCAAGTTCTATGAGTTGCTTAATTCTGCCTAATTAAAAAAAAAAAAAATTGAAATATTTATGATGTACCAAATTTGTGTAAATCTCAGCCAATGTTGTTACTCTACTTATTCACAAGTTGTTCTGCTGAATTTCCTGATTCAACTCTCATTACACATGCTCACGCTAAACCATGAATTAGAAATCTTGAGCTCTGATCTTGCCTAAACTCACTGTTTTCCCCTCACATTTCATCACTAGTAAATAAACACCAATCCTAACAAAAATCCTAAAGCACTGAATGCAAGACTCTGATTCTGAGTGATTCACAACCAAATGCAATAGAGAAGCCAAAGAATAATCCCAGTCCATTGCTTAGAAGGGCCTCCTGAAAGTCAGCGCATTTCTTCTCAGAGGACTATCCCATGTGTTCTGAAACATCCTTAGGAATGGAAATTTCACAAATTCCACTGATAAACCAGTCATGTGCCTATATCTCATCAGTCTAATGCTCTTCGTTTCTAACCAAAATAATTATCACAGTTATCAAAGATTCCCATATATCTTTATTTTTATATTAAAAGTGTTTAGTTCCTTAAAAGCCCTGGTTACCAACAGGCACTGTTATCTTACCAGGAGATCCAACAGCAATATGACACTTTTTAAGTCTGGTTTTGTCTTGTGATAATGGGGTCCCTCCAATAAAGACATGACACTCCAAGCCTTCCATTTTTATTCCAATGGCTGTAATAACAGAATGTATCTGTACAGCAATTTCTCTTGTAGGGGCCAAGATCAAAATCTAAAAAACAAACAAACATAAATTATACCTTTGAGTCAGAGAAATACATGACACACTATATTTCATTTAAATGATCATTTCAATGAGTTTTTATTGATAGGGTAAAATATAGTTATCCCTTGGTATCCACAAGGGATTGGTCCCAGGAAGCCCCCAGATACCAAAACTGCAGATGCTCAAGTCTGTTATATAAGACTGTATATACCTGTATATTACCCATGTATATCCTCCCACATATTTTAAACCATCTCTAGATTACTTATAATACCTAATACAATTTAAATCCTATGTAAATTGTTATACTGTATTTTTGTTTGTATCTTTTTATTCTTTATTTTTTTAATTGTTCCCCCACCCCTCCCCTGAATATTTTTGATCCACAGTTGGCTGAATCAGCTAATACAGAACCTGAATATAGGGAGGGCTGACTGTATTCTATTCATTCATTCATTCAACAAATATTAAGTAAGAACCTACTATGTGCCAGGCAACATAGGGAGGGCTGACTGTATTCCATCCATTCATTCATTCATTTATTCAACAAATACTAAGTTAGAACCTACTGTGTGTTAGGCAACATACTAGTTGCTGGGGAACCAACAATTAACAGTACAGTCTTTGTCTTCATAGTACTTTCATTCTTAAATAATAAGAATACAATAAACAAAAATAAGTAATGACAGGTAATGAAAAGTAACATAAAAAAAATCACACAGGGAAAGAAGGAAGGAGTCATTTTAAATGAGGTAATCATGAGCCCTCCTCTAAGGAGGTAACACTTGAGCAGAGACCTACAAGTATGGCAGAGACCTGCAAGTATGGCATAGAGTAGAGCTGGCTATACAACACCTGGCAAAGCGTTTTCACGAAGAGAAAACAGCAAATGCAAAGGCCATAAGATGGCAGTGTTCTTGGGGTATTTGAGGAAGAAAAAGAAGGCCCACATGGCTATACAGAATTAGTGGGAAAGTAAAGTAAAGATCTAGCTCTAGGGGCTACATCACAAAAGCCTTGAGAGCCATGGTAAAAACTTTGCAATGTAACTACTGGAGAAGGCAAAAGCAATATTTTGTGCTCTTAACTACAGGAATAAAAACTTTATTAAAATAAAATACAAGACTGGGAGAAAACATGCCAAACTGTTAATAGCGGTTTCTCTCTAGGTAGTGAAATGATAGATTTTGTTTTCTGGTACTTCCTAATTTTTCTGAATTTTCCCAATTTTCAAAAATGAATATGTATTACTTTGATACACACAAAATATTAAAACATGAATTTTCCGGGCATAGTGGCTCACATCTGTGATCCCAGCACTTTGGGAGGCTGAGGCGGGTGGATATCCTGAGTCAGGAGTTTGAAACCAGCCTGGCCAACATGAAAAAACTCCATCTCTACTAAAAATACAAAAAAAATTAGCTGGGTGTGTGGTGTGCACACCTGTAATCCCAGCTACTCGGGAGGCTGAGGCAGGAAAATCACTTGAACCTGGGAGGCGGAGATTGCAGTGAGCCAAGACTGTGCCATTGCACTCCAACCTAAGCAACAGAATGAGACTTCATCTCAAAAAAAAAAAAATGAATTTATAAAACTTTTCCAGGATTTTAGCATTTTATCTGCTGCCAAATTGTCAGAAGCCAAAATCTCAAATACAGCCTAGTCTACAATTAGACTAGCTCAGGTTCTTGCAAAGTAGGAGGATTTCCAATGTGCAACATCACCTAGGATTTGGCAGATATAAGACAGACTCAACAAGCTTCTCGGGGAATTAACATGGGTATCTGGGTTAAAAACCATTGTTGAAGATTCATCATTAGATATACCAATGCCTGAGAACTTGAAATACAGTCTGCCATAAAAACTAAACTACAAAGTAAGGTTATGACAATCACATCTAATTCATCTTTGAATCCCCAATGCCTGGCATATCGTTTATACATAATATGGGTTCAACCAATCTTTGTTGAAAAAATGATCCCCAAACCCAAATTTCTTGCTAATTTGGGTAAGGCAATCTTAGAAACCCTCTCTAAGACAACCCAGAAGACAGGAGATCATATGATACATTTACAGAGCTTTAAGAACAACCCGCGCCGGGCACGGTGGCTCATGCCTGTAATCTCAGCACTTTGGGAGGCCGAGGCGGGTGGATCACGAGGTCAAGAGATCGAGACCATCCTGGCCAACATGGTGAAACCCTGTCTGTACTAAATACAAAAAAAAATTAGCCGGGCATGGTGGCACATGCCTGTAATCCCAGCTACTTGGGAGGCTGAGACAGGAGAATTTTTGAACCCAGGAGGCGGAGGTTGCGGTGAGCCGAGAATGCGCCATTGCACTCCAGCCTGGGCAACGAGAGCGAAACCCCGTCTCAAAAAAATAAAAGAACCACCTGCACACCGGGTGTGGTGGCTCATGCCTGTAATCCCAGTACTTTGGGAAGCAAAGGTGGGAGGACTGCTTGAACCCAGGAGTTCAAGGCTAGCCTGTACAACACTGAAGAGACACCATCTCTACAGAAAACACAAAAAGTAGTCAGGTGTGGTGGCACACACCTGTAGTCCCAGCTACTTAGGAAGATTAAGGTGGGAGGATCGCTGGAGCCCAGGAGTTCGAGGTTGCAGTGAGCGATGATTGGCCACTGCACTCCAGCCTAGGTGACAGAGCCAAACAGTCTCAAAAAAAAAACAAAAACAAACCCTGCAGTTACCAGCAATAGCCAGGGCACTACAATTCCATGAATCAAGTCAAATGTGAAGTCTCACATTCATCTAGTCAGTAAAGAATCCCTGTCTGTATTATCAAGATGTGACAAAACTGACACGTTAGCTTTTTCTATTTAAATAAGGTACACATAGAAACTTCCAAATTTCACCATCACCACCCTTAACGCATTCATTCGTCAAATTCACTTCCACCCCTGAGGAGCTACTGGTATTTCATCTGACCTGTGGTGAAGCCCACATAACACATCCTCCTCTGGTCCTCTGAGCTAACTCACCTGGGTACTTAAGTTTTCAAGAACAAGAGAATCCAAAGCAATGGTGGAGAACACACAGGTTTTCCCAGTGCCAGATTTAGCTTGAACAATTAAATCTGCGAAGGAAAAAATACATATGTATCGCTTGTCAGTACTCACTGAAGCAGCTTAGGGACTAACCCGGAATCCGAGAACTAGAAGGGTCTCCTGAGATTCCCCTAGTTGGCACCTTCATTTTTAGTTGAATCTCAAAAACGTATGAGAACACGCGTAGTCCCTGAATGTTTACCTTTCATCTTCTCAAACTTAGAAGCATTTGTCAGTGCTGGAAAAGCCCTTAACCATCTTAAAATTCAACTAAGTGCGCCGTAGTTTTAGAAATCAGTTAACTGAGCTTAGCGCCTTGCCCCAGGCCCGGCGGCCGACCGCGGACTCTTCCCGAGCTGTGGCGCGGCCCTGGCCGTCGCCGCCCTTCCTCGGCCACACTTCTCCCGGGTCCCCCGACCTCTCCCGGGCCCCCGCTCTCACCGAGCCCGCAGCGCCCCAGCGGGATGGCCTTGAGTTGCACGGGCGAGGGCCTCTCGAAGCCGGCCGCCCGCAGACCCTCCAGTACCGGCCGCGAAAGCAGCAGTGACTCGAAGTCGGCCGGCTCCGCCAACAGCACGTCCCCCGTGCGGGTCCGCGGGCTGCGGATATCCTGAGCCGTCCGCAGGCTCCTCACAGGCCCGGGTGATGGCTGCGGTGCCGAGACCTGCGAGGCCACATGTTCGGCCGGCATAGCGGTATCCACTGTCGCTAAGGCCGCCGGGGCTTCAAACGCAGCCGCCATGGTAGCCGCGCCGTCAGATCTCGCGGTACTTGGAGGGAGGCGGGGATCCTGGAAGCGAAAGGAGGAAAAACTTTATTGGCAGTTTTCCCGCGAAGACACTAACACGCCCGGCCTGAAAATGGAGGGAAGGGACGGAAGTCGGAGGCTGAGAGACTAGGGAACACTACCCCACACACACAAAATGTGACGTGAGGAAAGCAACAAGAGGGAGAAGAGGAAAGATGAGGCTACTGGTGAGTCACTGCCTGTAGCCTGCAGAGGGCGCCGCGGGCCCGCGGTGGGGGCGCCGCCCCGCCTCCCGGCCCTCTCCTGGGCAGCCCCACCAAGCTGTGCCCCGGCGCCTCCGCCCTCTCGGCGCTCTTTGTGATGCGGCCGGTGCGTCACCCCCACGCCCCGTGCTTCCGTTTTCCGTTCCTTCGGCCTATCTCGCTCCGCGGCCGCCTCTTCCCCAGCGGTATCGGCTCCGTAACCTGACTGGCTTCTTCTTTTTGTCGCAGAGTGCGCCCAGAGCGTATCCGGACCAAAGGGTTTACCACATTGGCTGGTGTGTCCTTCTTTATCTCCGAGTCCCCAGCCCCTGGCAAGTCCCTGGCGCCCTGTGAGCTCTGATAAAAGTACGATGAATTGGAACCTGGAACTGGACTGACAGCTCCCAAGTTCATATCTCCGCCTCATCTCCCTTTAAAGTCTAGACATGTAAATCCATCTGCCTCCATGCATCCGCCCCCGCAGCACCTCCGTCGGATGCCTAATAGATTCTCAGATGTTTCATGCCTTCCGTATTGCTCCTTCCCCCATCATCTCATGAGCAGGCAACTAACAGTCTCTGCCACTTCTCCTTACTGTGGACTTAGGCTCAAGTATCACCTTTTCAAAGAGCTCTTCCTTTTCAAATAGGTCTTGAACACCCTAAAACAGCTCCTTTATCCTCTCTGCTCCCGGGCTTTTCCCAGCAGTCTGTTCTTTTGTTTTGCTTTACTTTTTTCTTCCTGATACTTATAACTACCTGAAATTATATGTCTGCTGCCTGTCTCCCACACTCTTTGAGGACAGGGACCTATTCTGTCTTGTTCTTCTCTGTATCCCTAGTGGGAAAAACAGAATTTGACACATAGGAAATACTCAGTATTTATCAAATGAATGAGCTCTTGTAACAAAATCTTAGTCATCATGCCAAATGCAAATATTCGTGGAACTCAATCCTATTCATAATTTCAAACTTAGCGGTGTCCCCACACACCTGTAATCCCAGCTTCTTGGGAGGCTGAGGCAGGAGGATCGCTTGAGGCCAGGAGCTGCCAGTCTGGGCAACATACAGAGACCCTATCTCAAAATTTTTCTTTTTTGGTTTTGGGATACATGTGAAGAACACGCAAGATTGTTGCATAGGTACACACATGGCAGCGTGATTTGCTGCCTTCCTCCCCTTCACCTATTCAAAGATTCTTAAAATATAAACAAATTTTTAAAAATATAAAGAATACCAACACTAAATCTATTCTGCAACCAACCCCAACTTTGTCCATAGATTATGGTCATTGGTCCTACCCCCTTCACACACACACACACATACACACACAGTGATGGTCCAGATTCCATATGATATAGGTGGGGCTTTGGCATGATAATCCCATTGGAAGGTGGTCCTGAAGGTTTACTTTGCCTGTAAATTTACAAAACATTAAGAAAATGTCCACTATCCATTTGAAAGAAGGGAGACTGATGGAGGAGATGGCACTAAAGGTCCCAGGCTTCCTCTTAGTACCCCCACCTCTTTTATCTGCCTAATCCCCAGACCACAAACCTGGGAAATTATTGACTCCACCCTCTATCTAATTTACTGAGCACAAGTAATTTTGTGTCTAATTTACTGAGCACAAGTAATTTTGCCTCCAAATATTTCATCCATTCTTCTTCACTTACCATAGCATCTGCTCTGTTTTAGGTCCCTTCATCATCCTAACTATTGCAAAAACCTCCTGAATGGTCTCTCTGGCCAGAGTTTCTTCTCTATCCCAGCCATGTACCCTACAAGTGCTGCCATGATCTTTCTTGAGTGGATATTCTAGGCTGTTTGGGTCCGGCTCCAGATCCTGCTCCTTCTGACACTCTTTTGTATTCCCCACCCCAGGGTCCCACATCACACTCTAAATAAGTAATTCCAGTCTGGCTCATATGTTTTATTTGCTTAGCTACTTGTATGTCCTCACATTAAATAAACGGTGAGCTTCTCAAGACAGGACTTTTGTCATCCTAGGCTCTCCAGCCCAGCACCAAGCACTTCGTGGACCCAATAAACATTGTATGGCTGACACCTTCTTGCTCAAAAATCTCTGCTGGGTCTCCATGCACACAGCAGTGGCTCTGTGGAACTCACACCAATCACTGCTGAAGAACCACAGGATTATCCCAAGAAAAACAAAAAGACTACATTTCCAGAAAACATTTGTGGTTTTTTTTTTTTTTTTTTGAGACGGAGTTTCGCTCTTGTTACCCAGGCTGGAGTGCAATGGCGCAATCTCAGCTCACCGCAACCTCTGCCTCCTGGGTTCAGGCAGTTCTCCTGCCTCAGCCTCCCGAGTAGCTGGGATTACAGGCACGTGCCACCGTGCCCAGCTAATTTTTTGTATTCTTAGTAGAGACGGGGTTTCACCGTGTTGACCAGGATGGTCTTGATCTCCTGACCTCGTGATCAACCCGCCTTGGCCTCCCAAAATGCTGGGATTACAGGCTTGAGCCACTGCGCCCGGCCCAAACATTTGTAATTTTATAGGCATTCTGTTATTGCCTTTGTTGTTTGTGATGTTTTACAGACAGAAACATTGCAGTAATGTTATTGTGAACCATGGTGAATAACACATTACATTTTTTTCTCACTATTGAAAAGTTCTGACAGTGTTGTTGACCATCATTTTTGGTGCTATAAAGATAAAGCACAAAAGCAAGAGACCATTTAATAACTAGGTAAGGTATGAGCATAACACATGCAGAAACGGACTAGATTGTACCTGTGTCCCAGCCTCCCCCAGGATAAATAACAGTGGGATCCCTGGCTCTTCTCTGGCAGAGCAGCCCACCTACCTCCTCCAGCCAGACCAAACCAGCCCAAATGCTTAGATCTCCGTGGCTTGTAATGCCTCAGTACCTTTGTGTTTGGTCTTCCATCTACCTGGAGAACCTTTCCAGGGAGCTAGAGGAGGGAGAGATTCCTATGAACTGAAGAGGTGAGAGTGACACTTAGACTCAGAATGAATGTTAAGATTCAAATGATCCTGTCCCATCATTTTGCACTGGAGGCTTCTGAACCCAGAGGAAAAGAAAACACTATAAAGGAAGGCATAGTGTAAGGTGGCCCACCCTGGGTGTGAGGATTGGTGTGGGAATGTGGAAAGATGGGAAGAAAACTTAAGATTTTTTTCTCATTTGACCCCCAAAGCGACACAAGGTAGGCAGTGTTATTATTTGGGTTCAGTCCACAAAACATCTCTAATCCTCTAATCATTCAACAGAAATCTTCTGACCACCTAGTATTAATCAGCCATGTGCTAGAGGTACAAAAATGGAGCAAAGTAAACAAAGCCTCTGCACTCAGGGAGACAGGTGCACATAAATAAGCAGCCTCGTTTCCTGTGTAAAGTGCTGGGTGCTACTGGAGTCAAGGAGGTAACCAGATGTGGGGAGCCAAGAAAGACTTAGAAGTCAAGATTAGGTTTGGTTAAAAGACCCCCAAGTAGGAGCTTACTTCCCCAAGACAGAAGTTCATTTTGCCCTTGTAGAGAATTCTGGAAACAGGACTGATAAACAGTCCTGGTCCACAGAGATCCCAAGCACCCAGGCTTCTGCCTTGGTCCCCACATGGTTGCTCTACTCCCAGTCTTCATGTCTGCATGGCAGCCAGCAGGAAAGAAGAAGACTCAAGAAGAAGGTAGAAATGGTCATGGTCATCATGCCAGCAGTCCTTTTAAGAAATGCTCTCAAAAGCTGCCACACTACCTGGCACTTCTTGGAAAGAACTTAGCCATAAAATTACACCTTCTTGAAAAAAAAATCAGGGAAATGTCATTTTTCTGGACAATCACATGCCCAGCTGTATAAGTATTTGAGAGGAGGTCCATTACTATAGAGGAAGGGGGAAGGGATATTGGAGGCAACTAACAGTCTCTGCCACATCTTCCTAGCATTAGAGCTATGGTAAGATGTGAAAAATGAATCGAAGTTGGCCTGTGACAGAGGAGTGGCCAATGGAGGTGTGGAGGTGAGGCCCGCCATAGCATTCTAAAAGAGCTTAGAATGCAAATGGGAGAGTGAGCTTTGATGAGGCCGGAGAGTGAGCTGTAGGCCAGGCTAGCGTCTGGACTTTATCCTAGAAGCCTTCTGTGTTGGGTGCTGAAGCAGATGCTGCTCTCAATTAACTCCTCAGAGGAAGAATAGTGATCTGCTCAAAGTCGCAGAGCTCATAAATGGGATTGGAACTCAGATCTGTTTGACAGCAGAGTCTAGGCTCTTTCTACCCTCTGTCCTAAAAGAGTTAACGGCCCAGCTCGGGAAATGATCAAGCATGAAATGTGCAAGTAGCACAAGCTGGTGTAAAATCATAGGCAGTACTGACATTTTTCAGGGCCTTAGTTGTTCAAAGTGTGGCTGTCATGTGGGAGAGAGTGAGAGCTTCTGAGAAATTGAAGAAAACAGCTTTTGGTATTCAAAGAGCAATAGCTTTCTTCTCTATGTCCTTCTCCTCCACACCCCAAATCAAAGTGGCTTAAAGTATATATGGAAGTATGAGAGAACAACTACACCTACAAGATGATTGTTTACCTAATTCCTGGAGTCCAGTACTTCTGCCAAGACAGCAGCACCAGGAGACAAAGCTCAAGTGCAGTGAAGCAGTCAGGGCTGATACTTTGAGCTTATCCTGAAGAATGAATAAGGCATTCATCAGGCAGTGGGGGCGGAAGGAGAGCTCACCAGGCAGACAAGTCTCAGAAAGATATTCCGGGCACAGGCAACAGTTTGTGTAGAGGCGTGGAAGCATGAAAGCCACAGTCGTTTAGGGAAGGTAAGTCTTCTACTGTGAGTGGAGGCAAGTATGGCAGAAATGACCCGGACATGAGGATGCAGAGACATACTGGCCCTATGTTATGGACCACCTCATCTGCCACCATAGGAGTATAAAATGGGTGTGTTACGCTTTTCCATGGGAGGGCAGTGTTATTTAGCAGTTAAGAGAAATACAGTAGGAAATGTAACTTGGGACTTGGTTAGTGGCAAAGCTGAGCAGTTTGGATCGTAACTTGCAGACCTTGGAGCGTCACCTAGGTTTTGGATCTAATATAAGGCAAGTCATGGCAAGGCTCACAACACACAGTTTCTTAGACCTAGCAGCTCCTAGGCCTTCAGGTGTTGGTACACTGCTGTCCAAGTACCAGTGCCGCCCCTAGGTACATGTTGCTTGTCCAGCAAAGCATGACTGAGCTCATGCTACTTGGTTGCTTTGCCTAGCCATGGGTATTTTCATTGTTTTATTCCTGGGCCATCTGTTCAGTGAACTGGCACCATCCATAAACTTAAGTTGTATCAAGTTTATCAATAAACAACTTCCACCCTTCGGGACAGAATGTATTGTTTCATGACCCTGTTCAATCCTAGCTGGCTACTTCCCAATGGAAAATACCGGTTTTTACTTGTGTACCATGGCTTATGGTGTGACTAGCCTTAGGAATTAGGAAAGAGGGAGAGGTAGCAAAAGCCTGAGCCCATGCCCACTGCACAGCCACTCCCCACCATGGGGATTTGCCTGACTGGCTTTTGGAAGAGAACCCTGGGTGATCCTCCCTCAGGCTTCAGACCAGATTCCTCTCTACCCAAGGCCCATGTTGATTAATTGTCCCATTTAACACCACTGCCTCAGTCTTTAGGGAGAAAGGTGGCATGTTTGCTCTTCTCCTTGTGAGAAAGGGGCCCAATTTATTCTTGTCCAGGCAGCATAATAAATAACCTGCCCATTTTGGCAGGGAGTTTATTAGAGACTGATGGGACATTTAACAATAACTGGGGGCCTATGATTTATTAGGTAGGGAGGTTCATGGCGTCTCTGAAGACTGGGACTGTGGAATTTAATTGATAAAGCGGCTGTCAGCAGCAATGAGATGCACTCAGTGGAATATGCATTTGAGGGATTCTCTTTGGAGCTGTCAGGAAGGGTTTCTGCTAATCATATTCATCTCCTGTGGATGGCAGTGTCTGCTGGATAGCTGGCTGAGAGACAAATGGCAGGGAGGGGGCTCTGAAAGGGGCTCAGGGAGGGCTACACCTGTCAGTTGCCCGCCGACCAATGGAAGAATGTGACACAAAGAAGCAAAAAGAAAAAGAATATCTATCATCTCAAGTAAGGGCTCCCCTTCAAGAGGCCTTTGTCTCCACTCTCTGAGCTGCTTAGGAGAAGAAGAGGTGCTGAGCACCTACTTCCCGGAAAGGGAGGGAAATGAAAGGGTTAAATGACAAGAGATTTGTTCTGGATTTCCGAACTCTCTGCACAGATACTCCCCTCCCTTGGCTCCCTAACACACACACAGACACACACACACACACACACACACACACACACCAACACATACAGCATAGTTACCTCACACCCATGCAGCAGCCTCCCCTGAACCCCTGGCTCTGGTGGCAACTCCTCCTGTCACTGCAGCATCCACACCAAGAACAGAGCCACAGAAGCTCAGATGGATGGGGCCTCGCCTTGTTGTTATCGTTGTCTCCCGGCTCTGAAGACCCCAGAACCCAGGCCAAGAACCTGGAAATAAATGCTCATAGTCTGGAGTACGTAGAGCATGCAGGTATCATACTTCTCTACCCACTCTGCACCCCGGTTTCCTGACAATGAAGGAGACTGGTTTTATCTCTGTGGGGCCATCGATGATGGCACAGCTCTGTCCTCAGGAAGCCTTGAGCCTTTGCAAGGCAGCTCTGCTCACATTTTCTATCCCCCCGCCCTTTGGGCTGTTACTCAGCCTTAAACAAGGCCATGTAAGGCTTGGAGAGGGGCTTTCTCAGGCCAGAGCCTGTTTCCCTCCTTTGATCCTCCCGCATCTATTCTTAGGTCCCAGGAGATTGGTCTGCCTCCTTGTTCCCTCCAGGGAGTGAAAGGGAGGGGGGAGGCAATAGCCAGGAAAGAAGAAGTAATTGTCACTGTCTAATCTGAGCCTCGGTGGTGACACAGAGGGACCTCTGAGCA